TTTTGAGAATTTTTTTCTTAATTAAAAGAGTTTTTAAAGAAAGTTAAACTACAAAAGCTTACTCATGAAAATTTTATACAAGTAGAACATAGCAGAAACTCTGTCAAACGAATATTTATACTAATATTGTAATATGATGCTATTTTGTTGTCTCATTCTCCTTTTTTTTGGACAGAATAAAAAAATATTTCCTTTTTCTTTTGATATTTCTGAGCTAATCAAACAAATTTTTAGAAATTAGATAGGAAGGGGGTCAGCATTCAAGTGTAAATAGAACTAGTTTTTATGTGGTGTTAGTCGCCTGTTGCTTCAAGTACGATTGGGCAAAACCCAATCCAAACCAAATCGATCGGTTTGGGTTGGTTTTGGCTAGATTGAAAAATTAAATTCGAGATTGGATTGGGTCTCAAGTTATAATTTAAAATCCAATCCAATCCAACCCAACCCAACCCAACGATGAATTAAAAAAATAATATCTAGATGAAAAAAATAAAAAAAATCTAAATATACACAATAGTAAAGATATGAAGACTAATAATTTATAAACGTCAATTATATATATATAGGTTGATTCACTTGAACATTTTGTACAAATGTTATGTTATTTGACAATAAAGTAAAAATTAAAAACATGATGATGAAATGAATAAATTCCAAAACATTGTTTAAAAAAATGCGTCATAAATTTAAACTTATTTATGCGTTATTTTTTAGAAAAAATTCCTTATGTAGGTATTAAAAAAGGGAAAATTTAATGAGCGATAGTTTAAGTATACATATTTCAAAATCAAGAAATCAAGTTTCAAAAATCAGATTTTTATTAAAATTTATTTATGATTTAATTAATTAATTAGGTATATTTAGGTCACATATCTATACAATTTGATCACAAATGAACAATTTAATTTGTCACTTATTATTTTTTGTTTACAAATCAGAAATTTTAAGTCACAAATCACTTTATGATCACAATTCAGAAATTTTGTATGTCACAGTTTGTTGATCGATCATAAATCAAAAAATTATTTAGTCAATGATTAATTTTTAGCCACAACTTATCAAATTATTGATCACAACTTATTTTTCGATTACGAATAAATAATTTTACAAGTCACAAATTATTTATTGATCACAGTTCATAAATATTATAAGTCACAACTTATTATACGGTCACAAATTATCGGTCATAGATTATTCATCGATTTCAAATGAAAACCTTTTATTTGTCATAACTCCTTTATTTATTGCAATTTATTAGATTAATTTATCATAATTAATTTTTCGATCAAAAATTAAACAACTGTGACTCACAGTCAAAACTTTTAGGTTACATATTACAAATTAACCAATAATTGATCATAATCAACCAAATAATTGGTCACAAACATCCAATCCCATCTCATCTCACCCATGACCATCGCCACGTCCACCACAACCACCATCACTATCACCATTACCATCACCAGACCTTGCAAAAGCATAATCGCTGACCAAATACCAACAAAACCATTACCCGAAACCAGATTGCAAGCACACAAACAAAATCGTTGCCCAAATACCAAACAAAATCGCCGCCACTAACAAGCTCCAATACTACCCAGAATTACCTGAAAATCAGAGCGGCAATAGTAGTTTAATTTCATGACACATTCTGTTGTGATGGAAGTGGTAGTGTTAGAGGTTGAGTTCTTGAATTCTCACTATCACTTGAAGACTTTGAGGTTTTGGCTTGCTTACCCTTCCTCCGACATCCATTGCCAACGAGAACATTTCTTACTGTTCCTCCCTGGTCCAGTACCTTCACAAAATCACAACGTGGGCACTTTGTGGAAGTGGCAGAGGCATTCCAAACACCAGAACCAATCGTCGCCCAATCACACCAACAAAATCGCAACCCAAAATGCCATCCATCATTGGGAAGTGGCGAAGATGAAGAGAGAGAGTTGAGCATAGAAAAGAGGGAAAGAGAAGGTATAGGAAAGATAAAGAAGTGACACCACCACCGCTCGTCTAGTAGTGTCAACGACACGTTCCTACGGCGGTGAGTCAACCATTGTTGCAGCGACATAGATGGCATCGAGCAAGCTTTGGTGGGAACGTGATAAAACTGCCATCCACCATCAACGATGGTGTCACGGTGTGGCGGCGGCGAGAAGACAACAATAGAGACGAGAGAGTGAGAAGATAGAGAGAGA